TAAAAATATGTTAATCAATTCGAATACCGTATTACTGTTAGAAGAATAATTTAGAATGTTATTAACAGCCTTTACTTTTTGGCAAAAAATAAAGATATAATATTGTACATGTTTGGATAAAACGGTTCATTTTTCTGATCGCAATAGCGAAAAGCACCTTTATTTGAATTTCCACCAATATCCTATGTCTATCATCTACCAGCCAATCCAATATGATTGATTATTCGTCACAATCTTCTTCCAGCCATGCCAAGGGGATTCCAAGTTTTCGCGCGAGGGTAATGTTTCCGGAAGTATGTTACCGGTTTTTAATTGTACTCCTCTTAATGTTGACTTTAGCGACGTGCTTGCAGTAAATTGTTTCTCATCGTTTTCTTCCTCTTCTTCAATATCTTGATACTGTAATTCGTCATCCATATAAACGACTGCGTTGGTATCCTCGTTATTTGCGTACTTGTGATACTCCTCAGCAACATCGCGCTTCGTCACTTTGCTCGTAGTTACAAACGCATTCTGTATGATTTCCAAGTCGTGGGCAGCCAGTGGAGATTGCGGATTAATTATAGGTTTGAAGCCGATCGACCTGAGCCGCGCGATCCGTAAATCGCTATCGAATGCATTCACTGGCACAAAAGCCGACGTTCTATCTTGCAGGGAATCCGCATATTCCTCGTCGCTTTTGCGACTCGTGTTATCCTCTGTGAGCGTAGAAGTAGCGCAGATTCGCAATTGAACCTGGGGTCCTTGATCGCACACGTCCAACACGGATTCCTTCAATTTTTCCAATTTATCCCATTTCATCTTCAAGATAGCTCTTTGATCGTTTAACTGTCCAATAACATAAACTTCCGGATTATCAGAGATAAGTCTACACTGTGTCGTCGCGTCCATCGTGCTGGGTTTCTCCTGTTTTTTGCGAAAGCAATGTAAACGCGGTTGAGCAGTACGATGTGATAAAGGAATTGTCCGTGTCAGCTTGTTTCGACTCCTGTCGAAGGAAGTCTTGGTGATAGCATGATCAACTGTTACGATTTCATTCTCTTTCTTCTTATTAACATTGTTATTATTATGATTATTGTGATTTTCATTATTATCATTACTAAGATTATTTCTAAGAGTTTTTTGCTTCTCAATTGAACTGTTAATATTCTTATTTGCGTGCACGGTATTGGTCAACCTATACTTATTTTTTGTTTGTCTCTCTCCGACACGATTGATTTTGGTCAGTTTGCCCTTCCGTTTAAAACTAGACTTGTATCGCTTGTTGGAATATATTATGGTATTGAAGGTATTGCAATAGTTTAAGTATGCATTGTTTTTGCATCGTAATCTCCTGTTTCTGGGTCCACGTGTCATGGGACCAAAATTAGCGTCTATCGACAAGTTGGCAATTTCTCTATCTCGTTTCTTGTACTTAGTTTTCTTAATTGACGAGTCAGGAAACTTCGGCTTTACCAATACTGTTTTCTTGTCAGTCCTTAGACGAGTTTTTATATCATACGAACTGCGAGTGTGTTGCGCGATAGTCTGAAGCGAACTCTTTACACGAAACGGCGATAAATACTCATTGTTCTTCTTGGACATGCAATTACGATCACTCCTCCTAATGTTATTATTATGTTTCTGATCCGCGTCGTTACAGGATTGGCGATCTACACCGGATAGCAAGTTGTCGAATTTTTCTCCATCCGCTTGCTTGGTTACTTTCCAAAATAATCTTTCAGATTTGGAATATTTACAGTATCTTCTGTTGTCCAAACTCGCAACGTTTTCCTTTATATTATCTGTTTCTTTACGCTTCTTTCTAAGATTTACGTTCGTCGGTACGTACTTCTTGCTCTTGGTCTCCGGAGTGGTTTCTCTTTTCGATGCGTTCCACATCGCGCATTCTTCGGTCGTCAGCCCTATCACATTTCCGATTAGTAACTTGGACATAGGATGATGTATTTCCTTATTGATCAAGTTTAAGATTTTATCCGGCGTTAAGGAATCCAAGGATTTGATGTTTTGCGCACAGAAAGATTCACTCGGTATCTCCGAAGCGTCGTGGAATTCGGAGATTCTTTCGTATGTCGTAACCGAATTCCTCGGTGATTCATTCCTGGAATTTGATTTCTGTGTCGGTTCATTATCAGTATTCAAGTTTTGTACATCCTGGCATTGAGCATTTTGAAGTTGTTCCTTACGCTCGATCGTAGTATTTGCACTATTCGTAGTATTGGACCTATCTAACGATGAAGATATGCAATAAGAATGTTCTGACGAGTTTACGACTATCGACGACAAATTTTCTCTACATTTGTTCAACGAAAAAGTATTTATGTTATCGGCTACATGTCCGTTATAGGATACGTTTTCACTTTGCTGAGAATTCACTCGCGTCTTGTCCATACTAGGCTTGGCGTCCTCCTTAGGTGTCAAGCGACTACCTTCCATATCTAATGCCGTACGAATAGTGATGTCGATCGGCTTGGAAGGCTTCTGCAACATCGTTGAGACGCTCTTCTTCGCGTCCTGCGAATTATGCGTCGACTCGTACAGACCCATGCGTATCGAGATGTTTGTATTATGAGTTTTAATAGCCGACGAACCAAGGCACAACAACATCTTTTGATCAGGTACAGAAGTTGATATCGCGCTTTCCGTGTTATTCGGTAGTTTTTTAAAAACATGACGCGTGACAATGGAACTCTCGGGCGCAGACCGTCTGCTGATGTCAACCGACGGTAGCGTTTTAGTAACTGGGAGACTTTCGCGACTGTCTCCATAACTAAGTTTTCGCTTTCGGCAAGTAATACCGATATTATTCGAGCATTTTCTCAAGTCGTATGTATTTAGATGATTCGACTTTGGCAATGGAATACAATGTCGCACGGAAGACAATTCTTCCGAGCCTTTGCTACTCCAGCTGGGCGACTCCTGATTCGCGAGACGCATCAACGCGAACTTGTTGTACTTGGTTCCATCCAAAGCCATGCCAATCCAACAGCTTATGACTACATAGAGTCCATCGTACCTGTATCCAGTGTTAGGCGCGATGTTATCTTGTAGATTGTAACTTCTTATTAATCTCAATGGTATTTGATTTTTATAGTTGCGAATGAATGGATCCATGCTAGGTTGTTCCTTATGATACACCTGTCCGGTAAGCGTTAAATAATCACCAAGATCCACGTCCTCATTCACGTTGGTATGCGAGGTACATATAGAGATAACACCAAACGGTCCCTCATGTACATCAACATTGAAAGGCTCATGCATCTTATCCCTGGAACAGTCCATGCGTATGCCCCACCAGGATCCAGGTGGAAATCCCAGAACTGGACCGTACCAGCATCTCGAAACCTTAAGAAACACACAAAACTGTATCGCTATACACACCTCATCACTCATGATGTAAAAATAAGTAGGAAAAAATGATATTTACATTTTTGTTGTATGATGAGCTCGATTTGTCTACAGATTTCAGTGAGCTCGCTTCCACAGCTTGGTTGAGCTTGCTAAATAGTTTGTTCAGGTCATGTCTGATTCGACCTTTTCCCTGAAAAAAAGGAAAATATGGGAAAAAAGGAAAATATGAAAGTATCAATATGAAATATGACAATTTCTTATTTCAGCTTAGCGACGATATTAATAAGTGCAGTGAATGGCGTGGAATAATGTAAATAAGAAACGAGCAGAGCTGCAGACGCAGGTCCTCGATGGAGAGAACGATACAGATACGGGATACACAGAGGAAGGGAGAGGGGGAGCCTTGAGGCGCAATACCTGATTCTTAATTCGCGCCTCACGCAGCCTCCTCTCATTTTCTTGAATCGTATTCGCATACACGGTCCTCGAGACATCACTACCCGACCTCGCCATTTCCACGAACGACGGGGATAACGCAGGTCGCTGAGCACGCTATATCCGCGATCGAGACGGTACGCTCTCCATTCGGACTGCGATCCGTCACCGACACCACGAATGCAAATGGCCGCTATCGCGACTCGCGACCGTCCCGTCGATAACCGCTCCGCGATAACTTCGCGATGTAAACATACGACCAAGATCAAGCCCAGCTGCACCATCTGCACTCTATCATCGACATATCCTTCTCCCGCCTTACGCCCGGAGTATCCGGGCGTATTGTCTGTTTTGCTTCAAAGTGCGAAAAACTCATATCCAGAGCAATCTTATCGTTTGAATATTACGGTAAATCAAGTCGCGCGAGTTCGTCGATTAGATCTGCGCGAGTCGCGTTGCATTGCTTCTGTCGAATCCGAAATACGGGATTGCGATCGAGGAAACTACGTAGATTCGTTTGTTTAACAATAACGTTCTCATATACACTGATTTAAAGAGAGATAGATTTAAAGCCCCGTCGCGTAGCGATGGACTCTAAAGAGGAAAAAAAAAGAGAGGCATAGAGAAGGAGAGAGAAATAGAGCATGCGATTAAAACGGGTAGACGAATAAATAAATCGACGAAGTTAGATGATAGCGAGCGTTAATGCATCATAATTTAACTGATTCTATCAACGCTCGGGACAATCAATCTACGATTGGCTAATGCAGTTACGAGGCGAGAGAATGGTAGTTAATTTTGGAGTAAAAAATGTGCCTCGCGATCTCGAGATCGATTCGAATTCCCCCCGAGAAGGATCTCGGAGCGCGAGTATAAAATGAAATGGTGATGATATCGATAAAAACAGATAGAAACGAGGCTTTCTGAGCGAACGGCGACGGCGACGGCGAGTGGCAAGTACGGGTACGGCGACAGGTCTGGGATGGCGACTCGGCGAGCGGAAATGAGGGGATGCGTTGTAAACGGCGGCCAAAGGAAGGCAGGCGGCCTCGGTGCGTGGGTACGCCGCAAGATGGCGTTTAACATGCGACGCTGCTTTTGACGTTCGCATATGAGTTTTTTTTGGTTCCCTCCACTTTGAAAAGGCCAGGAAGTGATTTTTCCTGGCGCGCCGTTTAGTCTACGGACGGCCGATCGAGGATGTGCCGTAAGGTATTAGCCACGACGCGAGCCGTTCGACTAATCGGTATTTCGATTTCGAGTACGTAGTACTTGGCCCCATAGCGAGGCGCGCACGAGGTCCCGCGATTGGCTAGTTTACGAAAACGACGATGGCTCCGTGAGGAGAGGAGAACATGGCTGCGACGCAAGCCGAGAGCCAACAAAACGATGTGAAGCTGAACGAGTCCGTGAAATGCGCACAGAAGCGTACGCAAGTCGGTGGGAATAGTGCGAGTGCTAGTGCAAAACAGCAGCTGGATTCCGAGCCGGACGATAAAGTGTCCCGGGGCGCGGCCCAGCTGCTTAAATATGTGAGTCGCGGCGGGGACACGACGGGCTACGAGATGAGTCAATACCGCGAGGACATTGGCGGACACACTGCCGCCGGTGAGGTAAAATCGCCGCGTGAGGCCGGCCAGACGTCCCAGGAGCCCGTCGGCAAGCAAGAGGCGCACGACGCGCCCGGCCATCCCGGCCACCCGGGCCATCCGTTCGCGCCAAACGTGATACGCGACTACTCAGACGAGTACAGCAACAACAAATCCGGCGACCAATTCGCCCCGACCAAGTCCTCCCTCGCTGTCGATTATCCCCCCGGCAAGCAGCTCCCGGAGTACGTTGCCAAGCACGCGGACTTTCCCGGCAAGCAGCTCGACTATCATGGTAAACACTTGATGCATGAGTCCGACCGGACCCACCGGGCCGAGATGGAGGAGCATTACTCTCCTTCCAAAATCGAGACGCGATTGTACGTCGGTGCCACCTCCGGCAACTTCTCCGGTCAACCGAGGTTTCTCTCTGGACAGGGTATGTCCCAGACCGCTGGTCCTACCCCTACCTTGAACCAATTGCTACAGGCGTCTACTCCAGTCCATCGGTTTCATGGAAATTATCCCGGTATGGGACCTGAGTATCAGCAGCCATGGCCTATGCAAAGGCCACCGGTTGTGCCTCCAGTTTATCCACAACCCAGTCAGCGTCCTCCGCAGACGGTAAACAAACACATCTATACCTTTATATTACCTTCTCCCACCCTCTCCCCTCCTTCCTCTAGTATATTTCACTTAGGTTAAGCCCAGCGACTAAACCTAGCGTTACGATACATGTACTTTTTCTTGTTATGAGTATGAGTCCTATAATTTTTGTATCATCTGTACATTTTAGATCTAGTTAAAAGATTATATTTATGTATATATACGATCTAATTGTTATATGTTTCCCAATCTATCAGGGTTCACCGAGATTACATACAGGGCCAGGAGCACAAAGTTCTCCAACACCCATGCAATATCAACAATATACCCAACGATATTCCTCACCTACGAGACCTCATGCACCTTACAGTCATCATCAGGTAAATAAATGCCTTGCCTTCAATCCGTGACTTTAATTTAATTCTTGTATATTAATATCGAAAAGATTTAGCCAATCGAATCAATATTTCTACATGATATTTTCTTTAATCTTTTTAGCTAAACTCTTATACGACGCAAACCAGTCATCCCTCAAGCTTATATACAGAACAAAGGGGGTGGAATCAAGGTGGTCCACCAAATCCACCTCCACCGCCAAGTAATCAGGTCACTCCATCAGGTCAGTCACCACAGCGTGCTTTGTCTCAATCTCCAGCTCCACCACCTGCTGCGTCACCACAACCACAAACTACCAGTCAGACCCAGGTGAACATTATTACAAAAATTACTAATAGTTGATAATCTCTAGCGTATCACTGGAACATATCAGAATTTCAGTTATCTTTACCTCTCTATACAATTATTTTTCTAATGGAAGTATATGGATAGTTTATTTATACATAGAACATATAATTTACGCGTAAGAAAGGAAGTTTACGAAAATGGAGTATTTTTTTTATAAAAGTAAAAAGCATAACATAGATTTTGACATTGACTCATTTTTGTAAATAAACTTGATGTGATAATCATGTTATTGACGCAAAACAATAGTTTTTTTAAAAATTGACAACATTAATCAGAAATATTGTAATGCGATGTGTAAAATATATACAAATTCTTTGTGAAAGGATATAAATGAATTGTTAAGACAGTATATATATATATATATATATATA